TAACTCAAAAATAACATATGCCTAGCTATCGCGTGATGCTTCCCCACGTAGGAGCACATTCATCTCCCGAACTTAATATGCCGAAAGAACTCTCAGTGAGTAGATGTTACACACTGCCAACAAGCACTACAAGGTAAGAAAAGCAAAAGCTGAAAAGTACTATTTAGATCTCAATTTCTAGGGAAAAACCCTATATTTCAGGTTTGAAAACTATTTCCGTTATTGGAAAGGTCGCGCATGCGGTTTGGACTACATATCTCCATTTTTAGAGTCAGAGGATTGGCGACCAGCTGAGGTAATGCCTTGTAACTTAGGATTTATAATTTTGTTTCATTTTATTTTTTGGAAAACGAGGCTGAAAAATAATCGCACTCTTTGTGAACAGGATCAAGGGAAGTCGCCTTGAAACGGAATAAAGTTGATGGGAATTTCAAAAAGGTTGTACCAAATTTCTTTTTCCGTACTGCAGTAAATTACAGGATCGTCGTTACCAGCGCATTTACTGGGGGCCGGAGTTCCTCTCGATTACACCTTCGTGCCGACATGCCGCGAATTTCATGCTGTCAGCTTATAGGTGACCGCATCAACTGGACACAACGACAATGTGATACTATCATCTGCATGAACACTGTAGCTGCCGTTATATTGCTGATCATCAGAAGTAATACGCCGATAGTTTGTTATCTCCACATAAATATTCGAAAAATGTAAAAATCACAAACAATTAAAATTTGCAACATTGTCTGTGATATCATTATTTTTAAAAAACTAACATCACTTCGCATATTTATTCAAGCACAGGGCAGACGCATGCATATAACATCGATGGATGACCTCTTCAAAAAAAAATTCTCAAAGTTTGATGCTCTCTAGAACTTATTCGGCAAGAATAGAAAACTCACAAACATTGAAGAGGCTCGCTGGACATTCTCAGCCAACAGAAACCACGTAGAAAAGGTTGCACATTCGATGACTAATCCAAACTCACTTGGGTCACAAAACAAAGGGCAACATAGGTCTAAATCTCATTAAGAAGATATTAATATGACGAATTATAGTTTATAACCGAATCAGGAAAGATCGCACACACAGATACGGGGACAAATTGGACACTATACATTATCTACATTGTATCTACTCCACAAGAGGAA